CGGGGAACTCTGCAAAAAACGCATCTTCGCACGGGCAGCCCGTGCGTTGGCCATTTATTTATAATTATAATTTTTGCCTTTGCACTGTCAAGCATACCTGATGTAACACAGAAATAGAAAATCATTGATTTATCTGGGTCACTTTTTTGCGGTGACTTTTTATGCGTTTTTCACATCTATGCAATGCAAAAACACATCGTCAAGGAGTTGTCTGTGTGTATATATGTGTGTTCGTTCGTATCGATTTTTCATCTTGAAATGTATGAAAGCTACAGGGCTGAAACTTTGGAAACTTAATCTGCATGTACGTATGGGCCTCAGTCTCCAAAATGGGCGCTCTTACCCACGTGGTTTCCGCGTACGGGCCCTTGTTTTTTGCAAGTAAGTTGCTAATTCAGAAAACTAAAAGGCTAGAAGGCTAGAATTTCAAGAGCGGATGTTTTGAAACAACCCTGGTGACCAGACTCAATTCTTATAGCTAAATCTGCCAGAAAAACAGTGCCGTTAACGACAAAAACTGCGGGAGACTATGCAAAAAACGCATCTTCGCATCGGCGTTAGGTGCGCTGGCCATTTATTCCCTACTGTTTCAGATTATAAGCGAACTTTTGTTAACTTCATCAAAAAGTCATCTAGCTCACCGAATGAAGAGATTGATTACAGTTATGGCAATGAATTACAATTACGAACTATCTTTATGCTTTTCAAGGAATTAAAAGAGCGACATGTGATGCGTTCGGCCTACGAAAGCGCTTTGAAAGAGACGAAAGCCGCATTAAATGCGCGACGTAGTAAAGCAGAAGTTGATTTTTCACGTGATCAGAAAATAACACTGGAAAATGAAATTCGTCGGCTGAGACGGTCACGCATGATCGCATTGCATAACCTCGTCGAGAAACTCGCAGCCGATGTACGTTTAACAGTTTCATCCTAAAAAAACTCTTTGTTTTTTGCTTTACTACTGGTGCCATCTTTTTCATTCTTTCCCCTCACTTCTTGCTTTCTATTACAATCGCCAATTCACTGCCTGAAACAGTGCTTATTGTGCAACTTTGGGTCATCATTATGCATCTGGCTTGTAGCTACCTGATGGTATTTCTCATTGTCATTCCACAGGAATTTTTCATCACCTTCCTCAATTTACGCAGTCTTTCGTCTTGTCCAGTTGTTGCTCTTTCTAGGTCCTTCCATAAGTGTTATCATCTACAGGAGGAAGGGGGGAGGGGTGTGCTAGAAGATTGAAAGTTTACTAGGTCCTAAAGGATTGGGCTGCGGGTGCAGGACCACCAGGAAATTTCCGCAGTTTCAGAATTTATCGGCTGTAACAAGTGGTGTAAATGCGATAACGTTACAGCCCTCTGTTTTTTTGTACGGAAGCCAGTTATCTCGGAATTTCTTCTAGTAGAGAATCCTTTGTTATTGTTCAAGGACAGAACTTTTAGGCGATTTTACTAAACAAATAACCGGCATTTTTGATTGTGAGTTTAGAACATTCTAGGATTTTAACGAATTCATAAGTACAATATCAAATTAGTACATTACTCTTTATTTTAGAGCACCTATTTTCATAAATGTCAAAAAAAAAAAAAAAATCAAAAATTTGCCACTGTGAATATACACAGTTTTGTCAGAAAGTTTCAAGCCTGGAGAATATTTGTGAATTTCGTTTTTATTTCAGGAGCTGACATTGAAAGCTCGACAATTGGAAACAAGTCATGCGCTTTTGAGGAAACACCATGAACAGACCAAAGAACTGGAATCGGCTCTTTTAAGCGAGAGCCAACGCATGAAACGACGACATCTCGAGAGGCAGCATGAAGCCGAGACCTCAAATCAGCTGCAGTACAATCAGCGGGTTGCTGACGAATTGGCGAAGCGCCATGCTTTGCAATCGAAACAGCAACCCAAGGAACTCAAGGTTCTCATTGTGTCATAATTTATTGCAGAAGCATCGAGTGATCTTTAAGTCATACTTTTGGCATTAAGTCATTGTTAGAGAGTTTCTTTGTTATTTCCAGTTCCCTGCTCGTACCGAATTATGTTTTCTTATTGCTTCATCTTGCTTCTTTTTGCCCGTGTCTCCACTTTCTTAGCATATTTTTAGATTTTAAAACTTCTCCTAAGAAAGTACTTTACAAAAAAACATCGCTTTTTTCTCTGTCTTTCCATCTCCTCGCACTCACTTCATACTGTCATGCTTTTTCCGGTTTCTTGCGGCAAATTGTGCGGTGCAAGCCGTTTATAGCATCCATACAAATCATCGTGAGTCTGACCGAAAAAGAAGGAATCTGAGGGTCTGAGCATCTGAAGGCCTCGTTCTGGAAATATCATCGCAATTCAGAGACAGAGGCTATCCATGCTGCGATTTATCTTAGTTAACTTCATTGGGTGGGCCTTTATGATTCGCATATGATTTCAGACGAAAGAGTTACAAATCCGAAAGCAGTATCGGCAAGCCGTGAAAACACAGTTGAGGCAAAGCAAACTTCTACAGGCTCAGGTACCGTTGCTTGTGTTTCTTGAAAATGGCCATTTTAATGCATCTTACGCTGCAGCGACGATGCAAAACGCAATTTGTCAGAATTTTGTGTTTGTGTCCAACAGTTACTAAAACTCGACTCGGCTTGGCCGCTCATATTGCACGCATTTGTGGATTTGAGTCCGAGCGAGAAGTACTGGGTCTTTTTTGTCGCGATAAGAATTTAGGTGTCGCACACAAGCTTGCTGGCTTTAAATTGGCATCTAGTTTCTTGCTGAGCATTATAAACTCATAAACCCTACCCGGCTTCTTCCTCCCCACAAAATCCCTGCCTCTGTTTCCAGCTTTTGTCTCCAAGCAGGGTCTCAGTTCCTTTCCAAACAATGTCTCAATTCGCTTCTCTCTTTTACGATTTTCTGATACCTAAACCACATTCCCGGCCTCTTCCGTTCTCTCCCACCCACCTTCACCTCTGTTTCGCCATCTTTGGGAGAGGGGAAGGGGGCGCACCAAAACTATTGTAACTTGCCTCCTAACCTGGCCTGGATGAGCAGAGTTTTAGTTTGCCAGGTGTTCAGATTTTTGTTCGGGTTTTCAACTCAGATGTTTACTGCCTTCGTGCGATCACGTAAAAATAAATTCACCTTTCACATATGCTTAACTCTCAGTTACGAATTTTCTAACTCGAAAACTGTAGAAGATCAAAGTTTTAGGAAAATATTCCCTCTCAGTGTGCGACTCCCGAAGTTCATATTCAGTTTCCATTTACACCTGGATTTTAGTTGCCGAGATGTGAAATTTTTGGCT